ACATCACCTCGTAGAGTCGTAGCAGGCCCTCTGTGCCTCTTCACTTCTCAGCTCTTAATCTCACATAATACCAACCCCTGTTGTTGATGCTTACGCCCTGCATCCAGATAACTCAACCGGCATCGCAAGTGGCCTGCTCGAGCGACATCAACTCCGGGGAAGTGCGAAAATTGCAGTAGCAAGAATAATCCTGGGGTCAAATCATTGGATGTCAACATGGAGTCCTTTTTGAGAACTTTGATTCTCATCTCGAAGTAAGTTAAGTGTCAATTTGGGGACATGAGGGTCATCATAGGGGCGACCTTGGGGGGCCACGATGTCACTTGCTTGTCAGCCTTAAAGGCGGCAAATCACAGTCCCGATTGGTTCCCGAACCTTACTGCGTAGCTCGCCAGGTTTCTTGACAACGATGCCGTAGGGTAGTTTGTGATTTGTGAGGCAATATACATTGTTTGTTCATGGGTATCTGTAAGTCTGACGTTGTGGTGTTGTAAGAGACGCAAATTTCCACCTATATCCGATGACCAAAGTTTGTTACTGGATGTTGAAAGATGGAATTAAACTTTCGACATCAGTATCCGCTCAAGCTAAATCTTTAGAGTAAATCAGTAATATGTTTAAGTAAGCTAATCGAACAGTGTAGAGGTACCAGAGGTGTATTTCATTGTGTTCATCACTCGTGGTCATTCGTCTCTTCAGGGCGGGCTTTCCTTTTGAGCTCTCAATGATGAAGTACGTGCATTAGCGTTAAGAAGATCAGGCAACTGTGTGAAGTACTTGCATGTGGTCAACGCTTCCACAGATCCATATTAGACGGACGTATTGGCAAACTGATGCCATTGACATGTGGTTTGCCATCAATGCTATCATTCGGGTTGAGTGTTGCTTTTCGACACCTTTATTGACCTCGCGTCCTGCTGGGCTGTCTTCGAGTCACAAAATTATTCAGAGGATAAGTTCACAGGGCCTCTTCATAGGTTATTTCAACCAAGAATTGCGAGTCGGCGCTACCTGAAGCAATGGAGGAAACTTGGATAATTCAAACATCACTCCGAAAAAACATAACGACACCAGAGGACACATGAAATGATAAATGTACTAATTTGACAACAAGAGGTCATCATTGTGAGGAGCCTATACTGCCGGAAGGTAGTCTCAATCAGTAAATGACTGGCCAGTCCGACTCCCACCGAATAAGGTTGATACCCAACAGAGCAGCATTGGCGCTGTTGTAGTAATGGTACACAAACACATCAGCATCCGCGTCCGTAAACACAGATGGGTGACCAGGCCCATAGATGGAGCCGTGAGTAGCCATCACCTCAGTACCGCCGCCATTCAACATGCTCACTCCGTTACGATCGGTAAATGGGCCCGTCACGCTGGTAGACCGGCCGACCATGGTGCGGTAGGTGCTCGAGGCGCCCTTGCAGCAGAAGTCGAACGACACCCACAGGTAGTAGTAACTCCCGCGGCGCGTGATAAAGGGCGCCTCGATGGCGCCGTCGTTGACGGTGCGACGGGCAAGGGAGACGAGGTTAGTACCGGAGCGCTTGCCGGTGCTGGGGTTGATGGAGATCATCTTGATGCCCGTCCAGAAGGAGCCAAAGGACAGCCACCAGTTGCCACTGGCGTCGACGATGAGGTTGGGGTCGATGGCGTTGTAGTCGACGGAACTCGAGGATTCAATGACGAGTCCCTGGTTCGTCCACGAGCCGGAGGCGCCGGTGGAGCTCGTGGCGAGGAAGATGGCGGACTTTTGAGAGCCGAAGGTCGACGCTGAGTAGTACATGTAGTACTGACCGTTGCGGTAAGAGATGTCTGGGGCCCAGAGGTTGGTGTCTCCCCCCGTGTAGGCGGTTGTCCACGAGGCGCCATTGGGGAAGGCGGCGCCGGCGTCACGCCATACGGTGCGATCGGTGGACGTCTTGAGAGCGATGTTAGTTCCCGTGTGGGCCATGAGGTATGTGCCGCTTGACGTCTTAAGGACGGACGGGTCGTGGACATTGACGCTGCCGGAGACGGCACCCGGATTCGGGTACGCTGCGGAGACGCTCGGAATGGCGGATAGAACGGTTAGAAGACCACCGAGCAGACCCTTCCATGTTGGCGCCATTGTGAATTGTGAAGCTCTTCGAGAGTTTCTCAGCTGGTACAGTTGCTTGAGAGGTGGAACACCGGTTGCCAAGATGAATCTCAAAGGTAAAAGAGGCCGATTCCGTAGGTTGTCAATCTCAACAGAGACGAGCTACGGCCGCAGCTGGGCCCTATTTATTCTTCAATTCAAAGAGCGCGAACGAGGTCATCTTGGCTACCTGGGGTGTCTCTCTGCCCTACCTAGGTATGTTACCTCGAATCCCGGGTCCGGCAGACGGAGCTTTGATAGGTGCAAAGTACTTGGAAAATTTCCCATTGGTCCTGTTATAGACTGGAGCATGGGTGTCTGCCGGTAGTTGGTAAGATACGTGGATTTGGTCAACTTCTTATTTTCCGTGTGTTCTCAAGTTGCCAAGGAGCCCCATCCTTTGGACTCCAAGCGCACCACGGATTAATCTCCAACCCCCACGGAGAGTTTGGTCCCGTGATTGTTCTTGGTGTAATTGAGGGTCTTACCCCAAGAAGAAGAAAACCATCGCGTGGGGCGGTGGCTGATGGTACCAGACAAACAGTATTAATGACACAAATGTTCGTGAACTGATGTGATGTAATCACGATTGTCTGCCGCTCTTACACGCCTGTAAACTCGAAACTCTCCCTGCATAACTTGTCATTTGAAGACCTAATGCAGGTCTGTATGTTGCAGTTCATGTCTAAAAAGGCCAGATCTGGTCGCGTGCAAAGGGAGTCGAAGATATCACAGTATCGTGCTAACTGGAGGATATGCTGGTATTGCAGCAATGCTCGCTGCTCGTGTAAGCAACTGAACAGGGCGGCACACGCTCAAATGGCATAGCTGACTAGACCTGTCCTTTCCATGGTAAACACCTCGCTCATCTAGTTAACAATATATTCAAATCCTCAAAATCAAGTATTCTGGATAATGTGGAATAAATCAAAATGGATCTATCATGTGAAAGGGCGAGGAGTAGGGAACAGATAACAGGGTGTCTGAGCTATACCAAGAAAGCAGCGACACAATGGCACAACGAGTCATATGCTTGCATTTACAGGCAAAACAACATCATCTCATCAAAATGGAGGAAAGGGATTGTTTGAGGCACGAGTATTCAAAAATGGCGACGCTGCCACGATTCATCAAAAATTCCCTCCACTTCATCAACAAGGAGCATTATTTGAAAGTATTCCAAAGCGTGACAATACGACCTTGGAGTAGTCATCTGCCCAATAACAGAACGGAGAGAAATCTCCAATGGTAGAATCACCACGGCACTGTTGAAGCTATGCCTACATCACACCACTTCATATAGAAGTCATAGCGGTGTATTAACACGGGATCTTAGTTCTCACGCGCACCTTTTGTTCAAACTTCGAGACTTCCGGCTTGTTCAAGAACCTGCATGAAGTCCATATACTCCTCCCAAAGGCTACAGCTGAAACTGACACGTTCCCAGGTCATTTCAAAAAATATCAGGTCGGCGGCGATGTCATAATATTGTCTCTATTGTTGCCAACTCGATCGTCTTTAGAGTCATTCGAATTCCAAAACACACAGAAATCAAGAGAGTGGAGCGACGTTGACTTCTACCTGCCCTAGAGATATGATTCGGACTCCCGCATCGCTATAGCTGCCGAAAACAGACGCTGTGTGTTCCAACGCGTATTGTGTATATTTATTCAATTTCCCGAAAAAGGAACGTCCCTCAACTCAAGCGTTTTCTCGAATAGAAAACGACTTGCAGGATCTGGCTAATGGACGTAACTCTTAAACTTTTCTATCGTCTTCCAAATAATTCGGAGCACTTGCTCATCGACGCTGTCGATGCAGGCAGCACTATGGCCAGAAATACTTCATTACGAAACCCATCATAGAAGGTAGGCTTGACAGCAGATTGCGGGAGACTTTGCATAGCGATATCCTCCAGATGCTGACGAAGGGAGTTTGCACCTTGGTATTCGAGCAGCTTCATTAGCACATTGACCGTCTGTCGAGGAACCCAGGACCCTCTTGGCATTTGTCTGGTGGCTTACCCTTTGAGAGCCGTCACGTGAGTGTATCTCGAGACTTGTTGGGGTTGAGCGACTGATTGACAAGTCTAACGGCACGCAGCTCGGTTTCAATGATATCTCCGGAGCGGGGCACGGAGGGGCCGTGCCAATGACTGTAGAAGACGGGACCCACATCTCCGGACGCGCGGGGGCATCAATCTGGCATCACTGGACACGGAAGCTGATCACACGAGCTTGAAACCTATTTGGAAAACTGCTGTATGGACTGTGTGGAAGAAACGGTCGTCTTATGTCGTGCATCACTGAGGCTGGGAAGGTCATGGTGCAGCAGGTCTCCAGACAAGGTAGATTGGAGTGAGTATTGGTTGGGTCGCCAAGTCGGAATGACTCGGGCTTCTTTGCTGCTGGAGGATGGGCGGTCTGTCTGTGAAACTCTCGGAGTTGGCATGGAAGAATCTTGGCAATTCCCAACGTTACGATAAGGGTGATTTGATTTTGTCTCGGATGTGCCGTGATGATGGTTTGTACGTTGCCTGTGAGGTAAGGAATCAGAGGTAGGAGGGACCATGTTGATGCTGTGCGACGGGGAAGAAGATGGCTGGATGGGTTGATGAAACGAACTTGGCTGGGCGGCAATGTCCACTTAGAATCGGTGGCTGGCACACATGTCCTGGCAGCCAAGACTCCCAAGAGCCCCAGACTGTGGAACTGTGGAGGAATTCTGGGTATGGTGATGGACGTTGATAGTGTGGGATATCCGCCGCGGACACGACCTCGGTGGTATACCAGGGAGAAGGCCGTTTGAACCTTGGTTCATCGTGATTCCAAAGCGAGCCACTACCTTAGTATGGAATGGAAGGCTTCCAGAACCGTTAGTATCCGTACGGATATCTAAGGTGCCTAGTAGGTAGGCAGTAGTCTGTAGACCGATGCTGCCAAGGCTCGTGGAGGCCCTGGAGGGGTTTCCAAGACGCGCCACCGGCGCCATCGCCGTCATCGCCGGCTGCGCCCCAACCACGACGGGGGGAAAGGAAGGTCACCCCTCTCCCACAGTCGTTGCTTTCCGTGCTTTTCCCCGGGGGTCGCACTTGCTCCTCCCCACGCCCGCCCGCTTCCGCTCCTTTCCAACGTGTCTCTCTTCTTTCCTTTGCACCGTCACCAGCACCTGCCCATTCAATGCCCCGCACATGTGCAATGACCCCAAGTTCCCGCTGTGCTTTCCCTACAAATTCGAGCGGACTTGGCATCTGACGTAATCGTTCCAATCGTGCACTTTCCCATGTCTGGATGCGTGCGACCTTCCCTGCCAGAAAGAAAAAAAGACATAACACGAATAGTTATCCGGTATATCCCCAGATAATGCTGCACACAGCACGAGGACCCGCCTCCGCCAAGGTCAGCCAAGATGGCCAAGCGTGATCTAATGCTTGATGGATGGATACACTTGCCGACTTCTGCACCAGTAAGAAAATCTTCGCAGACACAATTCCTGTCACCGTCACCATCTGTACCTTCCAGTATGGAGTACTTGCCTTACATCCATGTTCTGTCCGCGTACCTTACTCTGCCGCCCCCCTCCCCCCTTCAGTCTTTCCTTGTTGTTCCTCAACTGCCACGATACCGGTACCGTTCTTGCCGTTGCCGCAATCATTGAATTCCAATTGTTCTTGGCGATGCTGCCTTTCGCCTTCCCTCCTGGCCCTCAAAAGGCAGACCGCTGCCCCCTTCCCAGCCTCCGCCTCCTGATGTCTCTTTCTCACCAACAACGAATGCTGCAAGCCGTCCAATGACGCCTCAATTGACGACCTGTCTCTGTGTTGCCACCTTGACCAGTCCTTGCTGAATTCGCCCAGTTTGTCCAACTCGACCCATTTCAGAAATCTTCAACAACCCCCTCGTCTTTCTATCGCTGTCACTTCCAAGAGCTCAACTCTCTCTGGTATCATCAACTCTACCCCCCTCACCCACATCACCTATTTTGAGCTCCCACACTCTGTCCCCCTTTGCCTGGCATGGGGAACCAAAAGGCCGCAAAGCCCGATGAGAATCACGTCTCGGGCCAATCCAACAAACCGCTCTCTCACCCAGCCCATGCCTTGTCATACCAGCAGCTGGCTGAGGAGCTCCGCGCCAACACCCTCAATGGTCTCTCTGCTCAAGACGCAAAGTCCCGTCTCGACGAGTTCGGCCATAATGACCTTGGCGAAGCCGAGGGCGTTCAGCCCATCAAGATCATCATCGCCCAGATTGCCAATGCCATGACCATGGTGAGTTGCTTTCCCACCTTTACTCCAAATCCGCCCTTTGCTAACTTGTGCCTAGGTCCTGATTCTTGCCATGGCCGTTAGTTTCGGCATTGGCTCATACATTGAGGGCGGTGTCATTACTTTTGTCATCTTGCTCAACGTCATCGTTGGTTTCTTCCAGGAGTACTCCGCTGAGAAGACAATGGATTCCCTCCGTTCCCTCAGCTCCCCCACCGCCAACATCGTTCGTGACGGTGAATCCATGGTTGTTCCCTCCGGCGAAATCGTCCCTGGTGACCTCGTTGAGATCAAGACGGGTGACACAATCCCCGCAGATGTCAGGTATCCTATGCCATCAACAGCAACGTCAAGACCAAGCAGAGCAACTGATGATGCTACAGGCTGATCGAGGCGGTCAACTTCGAGACCGACGAGGCTCTGTTGACCGGCGAATCCCTCCCCGTGCGAAAGAACGAAGACGCAACTTTCCCCGATAATACCGGCCCCGGAGACCGTCTCAACGTCGCATACAGTTCGTCCAATGTCACCAAGGGTCGCGCCAAGGGCATTGTCTTCGCAACAGGCGTTTACACGGAGATTGGAGCTATTGCGTCTGCCCTTCGCAAGAAGGATTCCAAGGTCCGCGAGGTCAAACGCAAGCCCAATGGCAAGGCAAAGCCTCATCGGTACCTCGAGGCTTATACCTTGACTCTGACCGATGCCATTGGACGTTTCCTTGGTGTCAACGTTGGCACCCCTTTGCAACAGAAACTCTCCAAGCTCGCCATGCTCTTGTTCGGCATCGCCATCGTCTGTGCCATCATTGTTCTTGGCGCCAACAAGTTCGAGGCTAGTCAGGAAGTTATCATCTACGCAGTTGCGACCGGTCTGTCCATGATCCCGGCCAGTCTCGTGGTCGTACTCACCATCACTATGGCGGCCGGAACCAAGCGCATGGTGAAGCGCAATGTCATTGTGCGCAATCTCAAGTCGCTCGAGGCTCTTGGTGCAGTTACGGATATTTGCTCCGACAAGACCGGCACCCTGACGCAGGGCAAAATGCTAGCCCGCGGTGCTTGGTTGCCTGCTATGGGAACGTACACCGTCGAAAACACATCGTCACCAATGGATCCCACCACTGGTGATGTTCGCTACGACGAGCGGTCTCCTAGACACCTCAACTTTAAAAAGGGAGGTGACGCTTGTGGCACCATCATGAAGACCGACCAGCTGTTGCAAAATAGCAAGTCGGCCCTATCCGCGTTCCTTTACGTGGCGTCCCTGGCCAATCTCGCCACCATCAACAAGAAAGATGATCAATGGCTTGCCCGCGGCGATCCCACCGAAATCGCCATCCAGGTGTTTGCTTCTCGGTTCGACATGAATCGCCTCAAGTTTGTCAGTGGCAGTGACAGCCCCGAGTGGAGCGAGATTGCCGAGCTTCCATTCGACTCGGATGTCAAGCGCATGTCCGTCATCATGAAGAACAACGCCACGAGCGAGTATTTCGCCTACACCAAGGGTGCTGTTGAGAGAGTGATTCAGATCTGCACAAAGTACGCTCCCAGAGATGATGGCGTACTGGTAGACATCACGCCTGAGTTCCGTGAGGAGATCCTTCGCAACATGGAGGCTTTGGCGGGACTCGGGTTGCGCGTTCTCGCACTTGCGAGCAAGCCTTATGAGGGCACACCCAGCAAGGGCGATGAGGTTGAGCGTGCTTCGGTCGAATGTGACCTTGTATTCCGCGGTCTCGTGGGACTCTACGATCCCCCGCGTCCCGAATCCGCTCCTGCTGTTCGACAGTGCCACGAGGCCGGTATCTCGGTCCACATGCTCACCGGTGACCACCCTGAGACCGCAAAGGCCATTGCCATTGAGGTTGGCATTTTGCCCACTCGCATGGAGCGCGTCGCGAGGAACGTTTCAGACGCCATGGTCATGACGGCTTCGTCGTTCGATGCATTGAGTGACGACGAGGTTGACAAGCTTCCTGTCCTGCCGCTCGTCATTGCGAGATGCGCCCCAAGCACCAAAGTCCGAATGATTGAGGCTCTTCACCGCCGCAAGAAATTCTGTGCCATGGTATGTGGATATTCCTTCGCCCCATCTGTGTAATGGTCTTCTAATTTGGATAGACCGGTGACGGCGTCAACGACTCCCCTTCCCTCCGCCGTGCCGATGTTGGCATTGCTATGGGTCAGTCGGGTTCAGACGTGGCCAAGGATGCATCCGATATCGTCCTGACCGACGACAACTTTGCCTCCATTGTCGCCGCTATTGAAGAGGGCCGTCGTATCTTTGACAACATTCAAAAGTTCGTGTTGCATGTCCTTGCTGAAAACATTGCCCAAGCTGGAACATTGCTGGTTGGTCTCACTTTCAAGGACGCACGCGGGCTGTCGGTCTTCCCGCTTGCTCCTGTTGAAATCGTCTGGATTATCATGGCCACATCTGGTATGCCCGACATGGGACTTGGCTTTGAGCGTGCTGTCCCAGACATCATGCGTCGCCCACCTCAGTCTCTCAAGACGGGCATTTTCACCATGGAGTTCCTCGTCGACATGGTCTTCTACGGCCTCTGGATCACCGCTCTCTGCCTTTCAAGCTTCTCGCTGGTTGTCTACGGATTCGGGGCTGGCGATCTTGGAGAGAGCTGCAACGAAAGATACAATGACTCTTGCGACACAGTCTTCCGCGCCCGTGCTACCACTTTTGCCTGCCTCACATGGTTTGCCTTGTTCTTGGCCTGGGAGATGGTCGATATGCGTCGGTCATTCTTCCGCATGCAACCAGGATCCAAGAAATATTTCACCCAGTGGATGATTGACGTTTGGCGAAACAGGTTCCTCTTCTGGGCCATTATTATCGGCTTCGTTACCCTGTTTCCCCTGCTGTATATCCCCGTCATCAATACTGTTGTGTTCAAGCACAAGGGCATCACGTGGGAATGGGGCATTGTGTTCATTGCTGCAGGACTTTTCTTCGCTGGTGTCGAATCCTGGAAATGGGGCAAACGCGTCTTCTTCAGGATTCGTAACAGCAAGAAGCTTGGTGTCGCGTGGAAAGACATGGACATTGAACAGAGAGTATTCGGGGAGTACCTCGGCTCGAGCGATGATGATCACCACACCGAAATCGGCGACGATGACATTGACCTGGAGAAGGAGAGGGCGGCCTCGGAGAAGTAGTAAGCGAGACACAAGTACCAGATTGTCAGCTCATGGAGAGAAGTGAGTGCGCACTTTGGAGCGGGTGAGCGAGACTAGTGCGCATGTTGTAGATGATGATGTTATGGTAACATCTATGATAGTAATGAATCAAAAATCATTTACAAAAAGGTCGCTGAGTCTCTCTCGGAAGTGTGTCTCAGTCTGCTGCTGCAAGTCACCAGGCACCGATTTAAACCCCTGTTACCATTACCAAACGCGAGCCTACCCGGGCGAGACTTTGCCCATTCCTTACGCAGATCAGCCCTGTATGTGGCCACAGTACCATGCCAAGGACACTGGACTTCCGAGGGTTGAGATCCTTCAGTGTGCAAACGAACGCAACGAAGTAGCTACTTCTCGTGGTGCGGTGCCACCAAAGGATTGGTCGCCCCGCCGAAGCTGACAAGTTTTGCATCACTGACTTGAAGGATTGACGTTGATGTATTGTTAAGACATTACTGTATAGAAGTGATGAATTCCCCTGGATTCCCACGTTGACTTACAACAATGAAATTGTTTTCGGGCCATCCATCTAGAAATCTGCCAAGATGCGCTTCACGGCACTGATTTCGTATATCCTCTCCGCGCTCTTTGTAGCGCAATTCCCAACACCAGCCCTCGCCATCCCGACAACCCGCCAATCCGGAAGCCTAGCCTTCCTACCCGACAACCCTCTCTTTACGTTTTCCTATTCCACGCCAAACGCCGACGCAAAGAACTGGATCGGCATCTACCGCGCCTCCGGCGGCGGACCCGAGAATCAGACGTTTGTAGAGCCGTCGCTGGCCTGGGGGTATGCGCCCCAGTCCAACGGGACGCTCAAGATTGAGAACGGGTCGGGGTCGGGTTTGGTCCCTGGCGAGTACCGCGCCTACTTCCTCGCCAAAGACGGGTACGCGTGGCTTGCGCCGCCGGTGGACGTGAGGGTGCCGTATGCTTCCGGGCCGGTTGAGTTCCTCCTTGACGAGGTTACGCTGAGGAACGCGCGGGTCGGGGACGGGTACGAGGCGCGGGTTGATGGGTTGAGGAGCGGTGGCGGGAGTGCGTCCGTGAGCTTTCGTAAAGTCGAGGGGAGCGAATGGGTCAAGGTCTCGAAGGCGGGCGTCGTATCTGGCACGCCTGACGTCGCGGGGCCCTCTCACGTCACGATCGAGGTAGCCGTCGCAGCAGCAGCGGCGGCAGCAGCGGATGGA